TGAATGTGTGTGTGTGTGTGGGGGGGGGGGTTGGGGGATTTGAGTTCTACATACTCACGTGAATGTGGGGTGATTTCTTACATACTCTCCTGAATGTTGTGTGTGGGGGAGGGGGTGTGTGATTTCTCACATGCTCTGCTCAAACACGACACTTGTGAATGTCCTGTGCTGTTAATCATGTGGGAGGGGGGAGGGTGGTTAAATATGTACTGATCGTTTAAGATAGGAGAACTAAAATAAACGCGAGCAGTTCACTTCCTGACATGCGCAGTACAGCAGTATTTAGTGCTCTTTTTTTTCTTTTTTTTTTTAAATCAATCCCAGTGGTTCCCCTAACTCTTTAGACTCGGGGGACGCCCCGTTTAAGAATCAATTTCTGGGGCCTTCTCTATGCCTTACGAGGTAATGGTGTCATTTTATTTACTGAAACGCCAGCGGAGCTACTGAGAAGTGTACGGTCGGGGCACAGGTAGGGAGGGAATCACTGACCTATGCAGTCCACTCTGTTAAAATGGCGTGTTTCTTTTTAAAAATAATATTAAATATTTTGTTTCATAATCAAAGGCTGCGATGAGTTTTTTAAAATTTATTATCGAAAAAAAGTGTGTGGGGGGGGGGGGGGTGGGGGCTGGGCGGGACGCCATCGACGTGACGTCACTTGGCCAATGATCCCAACAAACACATTTGTTTTCTTCTTCTACTACTCTGCCTTTCAAGAGTGCTTCTGTGTTTTGGAATTAAGAGTCTGCCGTGCAAGCAGCGCCCCAACACCAACACTTACTGTTCGGCGTTTAACAGTGTTCCGACCGACAGTGTTGTGGCCTCGACCTGAGGGGCCGCAACGCAATTTATTCCATCAAAGATTCTTGGGTAACGTTTAGAAAATATGGCGTCAACAGGACGTCAACATAACTCTTCAGGTCCATGCGGCAATGTCCGTGGAAGAAGATGGCGGAGTATACGATTACAGTAGTCCGTTCAGCTTTGTTTGTTTGTTGGATTAGGACATGGTCTGTTGTTGTAGCTGTGCGTATATTAAATCTGTTTGGCTGGCTGATCTGTTTGGCTTGGCTGGTTGGCTAAATGGTTGGCTGGCTGGTTGAATGGCTGTGCGATCAAAGTGTGTCAATTCAAAAGACCAGCATCCCGGGTGGATGGGCAGAGGCGTAGCGTGGTGGGGGCAGGGGGGGCAGATGTCCCCGGACGCCAGCTAGTTAGGGGCGCCAAAATGCGCTTTGATATTAATTTATTGATGAAAATAATGGGTTTTTAGAGTTGAAAAAAAGAAAAAGGGGCGCTAAAAATGGATCTTGTCCCCGGGTGCGAATCTTGTCCCCGGGCGCCAAACACCCTCGCTACGCCACTGTGGATGGGACTCGTTAACCTTGGATTGTAACCAGTGTTTTTTTTTCAAGTGACAAGTGACCCCCTAGCCCACCCCACCCCGGAGAAAAAAACGAGTACCACCACACTAATGTAAAACTAAAGGCCTATGAAAAAGAATCCAACTCAATGTTAGGGCCAACTGTCGCTGGTTAAAATTGGTGAAGTACTGCAACCAAACATCAAGGTGGTCGATATTTTTGATGAACCGAACATTTAAGGCAAATCTAGAGATTGTATTCGATTTCAATTAATTGAAATATTTTATTTTTTTTTTATTAAACCTATCCGCCCAACGCTATAAATGCCTATATAACTCCAATATTTTGAAATGGTTCTTGTTTTAAAAACATATTTATCCGTGTGCTGAACATGAAAGTGCAGAACGTCTTTAAAACATATTTGTAACGGAAAAAAACTCTAATCTATGGACGAAAATAAGATAGAATCCCGAGGGGGGCAAAAGGGGGGCGAATTCAGTTTATGAAGGGCTTGGGCGCCGGCGCTAGTTGCCATTATGCCTACTTTCGGNCCCCCCCCCCCCCAAATCTCAACCGAAAATTTGAAATGTCCCCTCTGGTCAAAGTCTCTGAAAGAAAAACTGATGGTAACCGGATCAAAGAGATGGCGAACTCTGAACTCAATCCCCAATTAGGAGTCCCGTAGGCGGCATGACGCAGTTAAAGCAGCTAAGGCTACTGCTCGAGTCGAGGCGGTGCCCTTGGTCATTTTAGCACGCGTAGGACGTACAACATAGCAATATAGCTCTCTTTTCCTCTCATTGATGATCCACGCTGCTCGGTAGCTTGTTTTCGGTCATTTAAGTACCCCCGCTCTCTCTCTTTCTCTCTCTCTCTCTCTCTCTCTCTCTCTCTCTCTCTCTCTCTCTCTCTCTTCCTTCCCTTTCCAGTCCTTCCAAGTCTTTTTTTCTGCGTCTTTTTGTCTTTTGTTCCGTTTGTTCAATTCGTGTTTTTCCTTTTTTTTTTTTTCGTTTCTTTCTTTCCATCTTCCTTACATTGAGAATATGGCCATTACTTATCAGACCCATCTTATAGGGCCCCCTCCTACTTCATTTAACTTACATAACATAAGCCCCACAATTAATTTACTAATATTCATTATGTCGTCATTTGTCCTCAGTCCCCCTTAAACAGAATTCGTGCTCCCATTTTCTTGTTGTGAGCGATATTACCTTCTCCTGACCCCAGTGTCGCAACTCCATAATTATGCCCCCTTTATCAGACCGTTCGCTGTCAATGAAATCTCTGTGTGGGGTCCCTTATCGCATAATCGAAGGCGATAATCTATTTTAGTCTACTCCACCGCTCAGAAACACGTGGTCTGATATCGCCGGTCGCCAATCAGTTATTACTGCAATCTCAGTAGCATGCCCTTACTTAAAAGCATTTTCTCCACCATTCCCCTTTAAAGAATGTATCTTTAAAATGTAGAGAGCATAGTATGTATAGCATAGTATAGTATAGTATAGTATAGTATAGCATAGCATAGCATAGCATAGCATAGCATAGCATAGCATAGTATAGTATAGTATAGTAGTAAAGTACAGTTACCCCCCACACACTTTTTTCCCAATCCTTTGTACCATATATCTGCGTACCAGAACAGATGTCAAAGTCATCATGTAAACTAGACAGTGGCGTGAAATAATTTGTGGAGCAAGGTTAAGTTACACCGCGGCAATAATCGTTAACTTGATATGTTCGGCATCAAACGAAAATGTGACTAGAATTCTGACGGTTTTCTTCTAACACTTGGGCAGTGTATCAGTTTCGGTTGTTGGTTAAAATCTATTCCATTTTTTTGGGGTTAATTTTTAATGTCAATGGTGTCATTGCTTTTATACAATGTCCGTGGTGTCATTACTTTTATACGCTTTAACAGAGGTGTAACCAGTCCAGGAAATTTCTCTCGTTCTAGATTAAAGCCAAAACATTAACATTAAAATGTTCTTGGAAATAAGGCAACCCTTTCCGTAAGATCTCATCATGTTATCGTGTATCATTGATTCAGTAATGAGTGCTACTTGATAAAAAAAATACGCAACTTTACAGAACATAAACATATACATCAGTTTTGAAAAAAATAACATGGATTCCAAATCAAAGTCGAGGCGGTTTAAATTTTCCTTCAAAAAGAGTCAAAACGACTCGGACATGTCCGAAATTGACCAGATCCTCGACTACAACCGCCAGCACCCTCTCCCCGGAGAGATCAGCCCGACGGACATCGCGTGCAGGTCAGCAGCGGAGTCCCCGCTCAGACTTGACTCCGACCCTTACAGGCTGGAAAGGAAGGACGCCGAGGACAGGAAACTCGATCCCAGAAAAACTCTGCAGCGCCCCGTGTCCATGGAGGCGAAGAGAACGGGCGTTAAGCTGGACGCCCAGAAGCGGGCCTCGGTTGACATCAAACGGACGCGCTTCTCTTACGGTCCGGAGAAGGGCGAGGCGAAGCCGGCGGCGTGCCTGAATGGCGCGGTGGAAACCAAAGACGATTCGAGAGTCATGATTAGATCGCGCAGCAGCTCTCACGCTGAACTGGTTCCAGGGACCGACGAGTTCAGAATTTCGGGCTCGTCACGTGTCACCGTCGTGTCCGAAACGTCGAACTCAACCCACGTGACGTCCACCGCGACCTCTGACGTCGCACGCGAGTTGACAGGACCGGGCCTTACTGACGACCGCTCAACAGCTGTCTTAACCAATGAACAGTCGCTGACCCCAGTGCCAGTGCCCGTCACGCAGGTCAGGCGGATCTCCATGCCCGCCACGTATACTGTCTCAGAAACCAAAAAATTGCCAGAAACGTCATTGACGGCCCCTGAGAAAATCGTGGTGGAGAAGACGACCATGGTCGTCCCGCCCAGCCCACGGTACAGTTTGGGATTTCTGGACGACCTCCAGGGCAGGCACAAGTTTTCTAAAGCCGTGTCCAAACAAAACGAAGTGGCTACAACAGGTAATAAATACCCTGTCTAACTTGTAACTCTGCCGTCTTTAATAACACGACCTGCTGTCTCCAGCAGCATTTTTTAAAACCTATCAACCGTAGAGATTTTAGTAAACATATACATACATAAAAATATGTATATATGTATATACATACATATATATATAATATATATAAATATATATACATTATATATTTATGTCTGTGTTTGTGAAAATGTTTTAAACGAGCATTCATTTCCCCTGACCTAAAGCTAAAGTTCTAGGTAAATAAATGACTGGAATGAAACTCTGTTGGATTTGTTTTGAAATACTGTTGTTGTTGTTTTTTTTTTATATTTGGGAGGGGGGGTTGGTGGGGCGTGTTGGGTGTGTGTTGAAAGGGGAGGGGTTACACTGATTTTTTGTTTTTAACTATGAAGAATGCATAATTATTTAAATTGCACAAGTGTTACCAGTGAAATAAATCGATAGGTTGGGGGGGGGGGGGGGGGGAAGTATCCAAAAAAATTAACATGCATTCCTGTCTCCGCTAATTATTTAAACCTTTAACTATGAAGAATGCATAATTATTTAAATTGCACAAGTGTTACCAGTGAAATAAATCGATAGGTTGGGGGGGGGGGGGCGGGAAGTATCCATAAAAATTGACATGCATTCCTGTATCCGCTAATTATTTAAACCAGACTTTCACTACGATACCAGTTTGTTTTTTTCTATTATGATTTCTACAGGACACGGGTGATCAAACCACTTCAGCTTCAAGCGCAATTTTGATCACCCGTTAACACTTTGCCAGCAACATTTCATTTGTTTTTTTTTTTTTTGTTTGTTTTTTTAAGTAAAGTTAGAATTTATTAATATCAAACCTGGGTTAATGACTAGAATGATAAGATGTGGGGGAAAAAATTAATGAGGAAAGATAATGTTTGCTTGTTTTCTGATTCATCTGGGACCACGCGGGTCTCACATTGAACTTGCAGGGGCCGCGGGTTGGTCCTCCTTATATAAATGGCTTGAGCTGACGATTGAGTAAGTGTTGCCAGAAATTTATACGAAAGATAGCTTTTCGGAGGAAAATCGTTCGAGGGAAGTTTTTTTCCAATTTTGTTCCAATAGCAATGTGTGTTTGTGTGTGGAAGGAAAGGAGAGGGTTTGGGCACGAGATTGGTTTGAACTGCCCAGAACTTCCACCCTGAAGTCTTCGCTCTGAAGTCTTCCACCCCAAAGTCTTCGCTTTGAACTCTTTCACTCTAAAGCCTTTACTCTGAAGTCTTCCACCCCAAAGTCTTCGCTTTGAACTCTTTCACTCTAAAGCCTTTACTCTGAAGTCTTCCACCCCAAAGTCTTCGCTTTGAACTCTTTTACTCTAAAGCCTTTACTCTGAAGTCTTCCACCCTGAAGTCTTCCCTCTAAAGTCTTCGCACCGAAGTCTTGTACCCCGAAGTCTCCACCATGAAGTCATCCGACCGGAAGTCTTCACCCTGAAGTCCCCCACCCTGAAGTCCCCCACCCTGAAGTCCCCCACTCTGAAGTCTTCCGCTCTGAAGTCTTCCGCTCTGAAGTCTTCCGCTCTGAAGTCTTCCGCTCTGAAGTCCCCCACTCTGAA